ATACCTTATGCAAAGGTTAACAAGGGTTACCGATACATTCTCATCGTTATAAACGTATTTAGCAAGTTTGTGTGGGCGGAACCTGTTAAACGCAAAACCGCAATAGAAGTGAGTAATGCTATGGCTAAGATCTTATCCCAGATGAAGTACATGCCACATAATTGTCAGACAGATTTAGGCAAGGAGTTTTACAATAAGGAATTTAAAAACTTGATGACACAATTCAAAATTAATCATTACAGCACGTACTCAAATTTAAAAGCTAGTGTTGTGGAAAGGGTAAACAGGACACTGAAAAACTTAATGTGGAAGCAGTTCAGCCTTCAAGGGACTTATAAATGGATAAATATATTACCGGAGATTGTGAACAGGTATAATGAGACACAACATCGAACGCATGGTCTGGCCCCCATTAAAGTAAATAACAAAAATGCTACTAAACTGTACTAAACAGCTTATAGCTATTTAAAAACCGTCGATCCGAAACCAGTAAAGTTTAAAGTCGGGGATTATGTAAGAATCAGCAAATACAGAGAGGCATTTAGTAAATCTTACACACCAAATTGGAGCAACGAGGTGTTTATAATAAGAAAGGTTAATAGGACTAATCCAACTACCTATCTATTAAAAGATCAAAACAACCAAGAAATTCAAGGAGCCTTTTATGAAGAGGAAATTCGGAAAACTACACATCACGATTTCTATTTAATTGAAAAAGTCCTCAGAAGAAACCGAAATGGTAAACTACTCGTTAAATGGTTAGGGCTAGACAAGACACATAATTCTTGGATTGATAAAAGTGACATTGTATAAATTTATGACTTGTAATTATAATTTTTAAATAAATACAGTACAAAAAGATCATCTTTTATTCACAGTAACAAGCAATAAATATCGAAAAATAAAATTATTATAAATTTTTCCATTTCCAGAGTTTAAGTTCTTACAAAAAGTGAAAATGTGAAAATGTAGTTCTCCATGGTTTCGGACACGCTCTTTTAAAATTTGTAGTCAGAAAAAATCTAACTCAAAAATTGACGTTTCTTTTCAAAAAAAGTACAGTTTTTCTCAAAGTTTTCGGTTTTTTTGTTAAAGCTGTCGAAAACTAATGTGAATGTAGTGTATTTTGCACTAATTAGTTTGGAGTCGCTCAATGCTATTTTCTCAAAAACAGCTCAAGACCAAATATCAAGGTCACATTTTTTAATTTTGAATGAAAAAATTAAATTATTTTCGATTACCTATACCTACCTGTAACATATTTGGGTGAAATAAAACTATAAGTAAAGTTACAGTACCTTACCAAATTTTTTAATTTTTGTATAGAAATTGAAAATGTTGTATAAGTGGTCGAGTAGAGAAAAAAAGTTCATATAATGTTCGCCGTCAGATCCACCATTCGGGTTGTACAGACGAAAAAGGGAACATTCTTTTAAGTTTTCCCTGTTATTTGAGCAGATAGAAAGCTGAACTTTTTTTTGTTAAAAAGCGGTAATAAAGAGCTGTGAACTGACGGTACTAAACATTTTTTACGATTATTTTGTAAGTCACTAGTGGTGGTAGCGGAGAATTTTACATAGGGACGGGAGGTGAAAATATGTGCTATCGAACTCAGTTAGATGTGTAATTTCGAAAAATGTAATAAAAAAAATAGGCGACTTAAAAAAAAGGTTATTTTCCTCTTATGTGTTGTTTCCTCTATGGTCTCGAATTCTATTTTATTAAGAATCATACACTTCCCTTTAGAAAATACCATAATAAAATTTATTTCGTATATTTTTATTAAAATATTACTAAGTTTGCCTTAAATTTCTAATAATAGTAGTTTCTAGTCAAATTTTCACTAACAAACCTATTTAAAATGAAACATTAAAATTTGAATAATTTTTTTATTGATATTATTATACAGATATTTAAAATTAAAATGCGACGGCAGTTGTGGTTACAGCACTGGCGGCGGCGGCAAACCCCTTGAATATTAAAATCGTTCAACAATTGTAAATAAACGAAAAAATTAAAAAATGCTTNATAAATATCATACCCCGCCTTTACTGTTCAGTTTATATCTACAAGTTTACGCAGTGCAAACAATGGCAGACAATCCAAAAAACGTATTAAGTTTAAAACATCGCGAAAGTGATGACGAATTGACCGATGACGAATGGGTGCCATCGTTCGATCGGAGAGTGGACCAAAATTTTATTACCAACCGGGCCAACCAAGCAGTGCAGGAAATAATTATTTTGAGCGACACAGTTTCCTCCGACAGAACCATACGCCAGGATATATCCGTGTCTTCGTTGCAAACATCCATCGTCGAGGGGCCTTTGGCAGCATCTCCGCAGAAAAAGCGTGCTGGGAGCCCGATTTTAGCGTCCAGCAGCACTTCGGTGGTACGCTCTAGCGACGAGGGACCTTCGGCAGCATCTCCTCCGAAAAAGCGTGCTACGACTCCGATCTTGGCATCTAGTAGCACTTCGATGGAGCGCTCCATCGACGAGGGAACTTCACCACAATTCCCAAAAAATCGTGTTGAAATCTTGGCCTCCAGCAGCACATTGATGGTACGCCCCATCGACGATGAGGGTCCAACCTTCCGCCCAACGATCACATCAACTCCAAGACGAAATGATGGGCTGGATGATGTGGTTGAGTCGATACGGGCGAAAACGGCCCTACAACACATCCAGCTTGAAGAGTTCAAAAACATCTGGTACGGCGATTTTAAACAGTACGTGAGGCGAATAGAAGCCGAGTTTATTAACGAGGTGAGATTTAGAAGACAAACAGCTATGCAAAATTTTGAGAAAATTAACGACTATCGCAAAGTACTGGATGAAATCGCCGAGGAGTTGACGGTAGATATTAACAATATGAATTCCACCATGGCATATATGGATGGTTTTGCGGAAGGGTTACCAGAGAAGATGTTCAACTTACCGAGTAAGGCGAATAAATAAATTTTAGATAGATAATCAAACTTAATTATCAATAATTCATTCATTTTTAATTGTTAAAAGAAAAATTGAACTCTATATAAATTTAAAAGTCATATTTTGATAAATTTTTGATAGTAATTGCTTTTATATGTGTATAGTTTTGTATGTATTTAAATTTATTTATTTCTGTTACAGATGCTCCTCGACCCCGACCTCCCTCGGATTGACTGAACGTGATAGACTTTTTAATGTTAGTGTTAGTTTAAATTTAATATAGTTTTGTAAATATGTATATATCTGTATTATAAGTAAATTATTAAAATATCTGATTACCATTTACTTTCTTTTATTAACACATAATTTGGGTGCTTAAAAAGTTTAACAAAATAATTCACTAGTAAAAAGAACAATGTATTTTCATTGTTTATATATGACAACGTTCAGTAAAGAATTAAATTACAGGTGATTTTATAAAGGATTTATTAAAAGTGACAAGACTTTTTTAGTTTTAATTTAAATTTAATTTAACTAATTTGGTAAATTTCTGTATATACCTGTATTATAAGCAAATTATTAAAATATCTGATTACCATTTACTTTCTTTTATTAACGAATAACTGAGATACTTAAAAAGTTTAATAAAATAGTCTACTAGCAAAAAAGAACATATATTTTCATCATTTGTATGTGACAATGTTCAGTGAAGAAATTTACAGGTGATTTTATAAAGGATTTTTTTAAAATGATAGCTTATTTAGCCTACTTTGCATTTATAAANAGCTGTTCCCCTCAGCTTGTGGCACGACCTAGTCTGCCATTCCACAAAATAGGGGAAAAGAATTCGTTAACCAGTTCCCCTTTACTTATTAATTAAGAGGAACCCTACACCTATCGTTCCACAACGCGAGCCGAACCCGACATCCGCAGAAGCAGCCTCGGCCGCGCAGAAACGCTTCCTGCACGCATCCAGCGTGTCCTGGGGATCCTTAGAGATACCCCCCAACCACGTCACCATCGCCAAACGGGTCCGGAAACCACCGCGTTCGTGGACATGGCGCCCAACGTGGGGCTCGAGTAACCAATATCCAGGTTACCTACACAGGCAAGGGAGCCTGTGCGATCCCAGCGAAGTACCTTCGAGCATCTTCGATGACTACCAGGCCTAGTCCAGGTCCACCAGGCCTCCACCAGGTCCAATCCAGGTCCACCAGGTCCACCCTACGTCTGAAGACAATTTTTGAAAAAAAAACTAAAAAAAATAAAAGTAAAATAAAATAAAAAAATAAATCCAACAAAAAAAATAAATAAAATAAAAAATAATAAAAAATAAATAAAAATAAAAAATAATAATAAACCACTCTGTAAAAACGAAGTGCTTGTAAACCTCGTATGAACTTTTTGAAAATTAAAAACATACTGAGAATTCCTTGATGAGTAAGTGCTTGTATATGCTTTCCTGTGAATGGTGGCGTCAGTGCTAACTTCCCAATTAAAAGATCGCTTGGGGAAAGCCATAACTCGTCACCAGTTCCTTTCAAAGGAGTTAGACCGAAATCTTCCTTCAATGCAGCATCACATTGATCGAAGAGTATTTGTGCCAAACACGACCCTAAATTGCTTTTTGCTTCAGAGAGGGTAGGTATTTGAAGAGATTTCATTAAACATAATCTCTGTTTTACATAATCACTTCTGTCCAATTCAATCTTGATATCTGGAAAAATTGTTGTCTTCATGTACGTATTTGCATTATAAATTCCTTACTCATTGTTAACATAAATAGAAAATTTATAAATTAAATAAAAATTTTAAATTAATGTCAAAAATAAGACAGCAATTTTGTTTAACTATTGAAATTCAAATATATCTGAATATTTAATTGCAGGGTGTTTTATTGGTTGCCTAATAATAAAATTTTACCGATTCTGTCCAAGGTTCCCAAAGTATAAGGTTGCTAACAAACACAGTATACTAATCAATCAGTAGGGAATCTTAAATGATTTATGAATGAATTCCGTATGGCAATTTTTAAATACCCCCACCCTAGGAAAAGTCGCTGAGAATATGGCGGATTCTTCGAGCATCTACTACTGGAGGCATGCCATTGCGAAAATTGTGGCTGAGTGTGCGAGAGAAACAGACAGTACCTCAGTGCATGCTGTCTCACTCTACCACGTCACGATTGGTTGGAAATTAATGCTCCAACCAATCGCGGCGTGATAGAGTGAGACAGCATGTATGAGATACTGTCTGTCTCTCAGCCACACTTTTCGCAATGGCATGCTACCTCTAGTAGTATAGTAAACATAACCTGTTCTTTTTCCTGGTTTTAATACTTTTAATTATTATACATTAATTTCTGATTAATTATTATAATCCGAGGTAATAAAGAGATTGTTAGCTATGTAGTAGTGTTACACGTAAATTGAGTTTTTTTTTTATTAAGAGAAGTTTACATTTTTTGNCCGCTAATAAAACCAACCAGCCAACCAGGACGGCAACCTACGGACCATGGACGGGTCCAACGTCTGGATGACGACCGCCCTCCATGTCCACTGATAGCCTACCCTGAGGCGACACCAGGCCCTAGCCATGCTAGGCCACATGCAGAGACCAAACCCCCGAACCAGCCATCACCCGCTGTAGGCGGTCCAACCAAGCGACCGACCCAGCATTTTCCCGGACACCTTGATATAAGGCGCAAGCGACGTCCAGTGAGGATGGTCGCTATTTCTCCGCCGCCCACCAAGAGGACTCAGCAGCCACGTCCCCACGAGAGGCCAGGGACGTCGGCCAACCCCCAGCAGAGCCAATCAGCCGCCAGCCGGACTACCGGAGCAGCCAGCGTTGGACAGCCCCCCCCCCAGTGCTAAAGACACTCTAACATAACTCTAACTAACCTCCGACAGAACCATACGCCAGGAGATATCTTCGTTGCAAACATCCATCGTCGAGGGGCCTTTGGCAACATCTCCGCAGAAAAAGCGTGCTGGGAGTCCGATTTTAGCGTCCAGCAGCACTTCGGTGGTACGCTCTAGCGACGAGGGACCTTCGGCAGTATCTCCTCCGAAAAAGCGTGCTCCGACTCCGATCTTGGCCTCCAGCAGCACATCGATGGGACGCCCCGTCGACGATGAGGGTCCAACCTTTCTCTCAACGATCACATCAACTCCAAGACGAAATGACGGGCTGGATGATGTTGAATCGATATGGGCGAAAGCGGCCCTACAACACATCCAGCTTGAAGAATTCAAAAACGTCTGGTACGGCGATTTTAAACAGTACGTGAGGCGAAAAGAAGCCGAGTTTATTAACGAGGTGAGACTTAGAAGACAAACAGCTATGCAAAATTTAGATAAAATTAACGACTATCGCAAAGTACTGGATGAAATCGCCGAGGAGATGATGGTAGATATTAACCATATGAATGCCACCATGGCAAATATGGATGGTTTTGCGGAAGGGTTACCAGAGAAGATTACCAGGTAAGGCGAATAAGTAAATTTTAGATAGATAATCAAACTTAATTATCAATAATTCATTCATTTTTAATTGTTAAAAGAAAAATTGAACTCTATATAAATTTAAAAGTCATATTTTGATGAATTTTTGGTAGTAATTGCTTTTATATATGTGTACAGTTTTGTATGTATATATTTTTAAATTTATTTATTTCTGTTACAGATGCTCCTCGACCCCGCCCCCCTCGGATTGACAGAACGTGACAGACTTTTTTAGTGTTAGTATTAGTTTAAATTTAATATAGTTTTGTAAATATGTATATATCTGTATTATAAGTAAATTATTAAAATATCTGATTACCATTTAATTTCTTTTATTAACACATAATTTGTGTACTTATAAAGTTTAACAAAATAATTCACTAGCAAAAAGAACAATGTATTTTCATTATTTATATATGACAATGTTCAGTAAAGAATTAAATTAAAGGTGATTAAAGGATTTATTAAAAGTGATAAGACTTTTTTTAGTTTTAATTTAAATTTAATTTAACTAGTTTGTATATACCTGTATTATAAGCAAATTATTAAAATATCTGATTACCATTTACCTTTTATTAACGAATAACTGAGATACTTAAAAAAGTATAATAAAATAATCCACTAGCAAAAAAGAACAATGTATTTTCATTATTTGTTTGTAACAATGTTCAGTGAAGAGGTGATTTTATAAAGGATTTTTTAAAATGATAGCCTATATAGCCTACTTTGCATCAACCGTTGTTAATTAAGTAGGTTCTATAAATCCAATATAATTTTCAAATGACAATAAACGTTATATGACTGACAGATTTTAAGATAAGTGATTTATGAATTAGACGCAATTTAATAGATTATTGCTTTTTAACTAATAGCATTAATAAGTTACGGGGTATATAAAGAGTGTCTGATAGAGGGGGATGAAAGTATAAAAATTAAAGATATATAAGTTTATTGTAAATATAATAAGGTAAATACAGTTGAACATGCTATTAGAAAAACTGACAATATTTCTACTAATACAGTTAATTATTAACAACACACTGCAGAATTAAAGGAGACTCTCGATTTAATTGATTTCTTAGTATTTGTTGCCCCTGTTTTAAACACCAGCAGATTCTATAATGAAGTTCGTTAAAATATGTGTATCCGGTCTCTTCACATAGAAATGTAACTCTATCCATACACACCGGACATACATGATTCCAATAATACTGTCCTGTTTCTTCGCAAACTAGACATCTTTGCTTCATAGACTTATTTGCATTTGAGCAAGTATTGCACTTATCTCTGCAAATACCTATCTTGGTGTGTCTTAAAACATGATTACACTTTTGACACTTTAAACCCTCAACATTGTTATAAGTTTGTGGTTTAGGTGCCTCAATTTCTACAGGATTTAATTTTCTGCAACCACTACACAACCCAGTAAAACAATTAAATTCTTCAGTAAACCACGCTCTCCGACAGTTATGACACACCCTGGCATCATTTCTTCTAAATGGAAACGCGAGAATTTTAGTTTTCCTGTCCCAATTCTTTGAAAACGGCATTGTTAGTAACTGGAGCCTTGTTCACAGGTACAGTGTAAATATAACAGTTGAAGCTAAAAATAAAAATCGATTAAGCATCTAACCGGTTCATAAGAACTGGTTAAACAAGTTAAACCGGATTTCAAAAACTTGTTTCCCATATATAAAACCAAGTCCACAAATGCTGTTAATTATTTAAAAGTTAATAGTCATAGAAACGTTTAAATAAGTTAAACTGGCTAAACCGGATTTCAAAAACTTGTTTCCTGTATATATTAAGCTACAGTTCACAAGCGCTCAGAATTATTTCAAAGTTAGTAAGTCAACAGTAGTAGTGTATTGTCTAGCGTATAACAAGAAGTTCTCTTCCAACTATAATTTGGCTCGTCATCTTAGAGAAAGTTGTTCATACCGCAATAATGAAAGCTCTCCTCTTAAGAAAATAAAAATGGATTGTCCACAAGCCACAAATATATCGAGTACTTCATCTGTTCCAGTTACTGATAAAAATGATGCAAATTCTTCTTTAGTTGGATGTCCAATATGTGGAGAACTTGTACCAAAACAAATTTTTGTGGGACATATAAGACGTAACTCACACAAAGTTGTTATGTCACCGGTGGATGAAGGCATTGATCAATTGCATAATCCCATCAAGTTTAGAATAGCCAGTTATCGTTTCTCGAGTCAACACCACCACATCGATCCTTCAGAATTTTTTATGGAAATGTACCCAAAGGTAGTTGCTGTTATATCTGAATATCTTACAAAATGGTGTGCTTTAAAAATAAATTTCGAATTATTTTCTTCGTATATTATTCCTGGCAAAGAAATGTCTGATCTCAAGTCTTTCAACACAGAAAATCAGATTGTAACTATTTCCTCTGATTTATGAAGATTTTATTAAGGATATAATAGAAAAAATGGCTAAATTCCTTGAACGTGATTCCGGCTGAAGTCTGCAACAAATTTTATCCCTAGAAGTTAATATTAACAAATATAATCCACTAAGAGCATCTTCGTTCATCAAACTTCCCAAGGAAATTGAACTCAAGAGAGCTGTCGTGAATATAGTTAATGAAGACAACGAGTGTTTTGCCTGGGCTGTGAATGCTGCTTTATTTCCTACATCTATTAATTCAAGCCAAATTTCATCGTATCCACATCATTCCACGGCACTAAATTTTGAAGGTTTGGAATTTCCTATTAAGCTTAAAGATATCCCTAAGTTTGAAGCATTAAATAACATTTCCGTTAATGTGTAAGTAATCAATTTGAAGAAGGTCGTATTAAACACGAAATTGTTGGACCATATTATTTTACCAAATTTCGTAAAAATATTCACGTAAATCTTTTATTTATTACTGATGATAGTGGAAATAGTCATTATTGTTATATTAAAAACTTGTCACGGTTAGTATCCACACAGAAATCAGATCACAATGGTAGAACATTCATTTGTGACGGCTGCCTGCAATTTTTTCGAACGTCAGAACGTTTAAAATTACATCAAACTAATGATTGTAATTTTATTTGTACAAAATTACCAACCACCGATATTAAAGTTAATAAATATGGAAAAGCACTTCCTGAAAATTTACTTAAATTTACGAATTTTGAGAAACAGCTTACTGTTCCTTTTGTAATATATGCAGATTTTGAGAGTATTTTAAAACCAATTCAAAATGCACAACCGTCCGTTGAATCTTCATTTTCTATAAAAACCTATGAGCATGTACCTTATTCGTTTTGTTTTTACGTAAAGTGTAATTTTGACGACAGGTTTTCAGAATTAGTACAATATCGCGGTTTAAACGCACCAGAAATTTTTATACAAAAACTCGAGGAAGTTATAATTAAACTTTATAACAAACATTTAAAAAATATTCAACCTATGTTAGCACTTTCCCAATATGAACAAGAAATATTTGATTCTAGTCAATATTGTCATATTTGTGATAAACCCTTTGAAGACTCCTATGTCAAGGTCAAAGACCACTGTCATTTGACAGGAATGTTTCGCGGCGCCTCCCATGTTATTTGTAATTTAAATTACAAGTTACCTAATTTTATACCGGTAATTCTTCACAATCTCACAAATTATGACTGTCATATTTTTATTAAAAAATTAGCTCTAAACCAGAAGATCAACGTCATTGAACAAAATAAAGAAAAATATATATCATTTTCGAAACATGTTTTTGTTGAGAATAATGCTCAAGGGAAAGATATATATATTAAACTGAAATTTTTAGATTCCTTTCGCTTTTTACCTTCATCTTTAGACAAATTAAGTCAAACACTCGAATCTTATCAATGTGTAGAAATAAAAAAATATTTTCCCGATCAATACTTGAGTTAATATGTCGAAAAGGTGTTTTCCCATATTCATATATAGGTTGCATTTCAAGGCTTGATGATACAGAGTTGCCTCCAAAAGAAAAATTTTTTGATATCTTACTGGGTGATAATATTTCTGATGATGACTATAGTCGAGCAGTAGACGTATTGTCAAACTCTTGGTGAGTATTCCGATACTTACTTAATTTCTGACGTATTATTACTAGCAGATATTTTTGAAAATTTCCGTAAAATTTTTTACAAAATTATAACTTAGATCCGGCTCAGTATTTGACTGTACCTTCTCTTAGTTGGGATGCCATGTTGCGAAAGACTGGTGTTACCCTAGGACTGCTTACAGATATTGATATGCTTCATTTTTTCCGCTGTTGCTAATAACACCTTTGCTCGCGATTATGACCCTACAAAACCTAACTCTTTTATAATTTATCTAGATGCTACAAATCTCTATGGTTGGGCTATGTCTCAAAGTCTTCCAATGGGTAACTTTCGATGACTTGATAGTAATGAAATTTTAAATTTTGATCCTTTACTCATAGACGATGATTATATGAAAGGTTACGTATTAGAAGTCGATATCGAATATCCCGAATGCTTACATGATGTTCATAATGATTTACCATTTTGTCCAGAAAATTTTGTACCTCCCAATAGTAAACACTCAAAACTCCTTCTATCTCTTCATAACAAAAATAATTATATAATTCATTATAGAAATTTAAAGCAATGTATAATGCAAGGATTAAAGGTAAATAAAATTCATAAAATTTTTGAAGTTTCGCAACAACCCTGGCTAAAACCATACATAGACTTGAATACACAATTACGAAATTCATCAAAAAATGCATTTGAAAGGGATCTATTTAAATTTTACATAAACTCCCCATATATGGAAAAACTGGAAAATCTAGACAAAAGGGTTGATATTAAACTTTTATCGCACTGGGAAAACATTCACCATAAAAAAGGGGCTGAAAGTTTTGTAAGCATGCCTAATTTTAAATCTCTATCTATTTTTTCAGAAAATTTAGTTGCCGTCCAAATGGGACATTTATCTATTTATTATAATAAACCTCTATATGTAGGATTCTC